CCGAACTAATTATATATTCAACGAACCTGTTTAACTCGCTCGGAGAAGCTACGGCATTTAAAATTAATATTGCTTCTTCCATAATGCTACTAGATACGTTGTCATAAGTGCCAGTCAGGTAATGTTACTCACTATACGGTGCTTTAGAAACCTGTACCATTCTCCTACCTTCGGTTTCACAATACCTTCCTCCTAAAAACTACAAATTGATATCCGTTCCTTTTTTGTTGCTTAATCCAAAAATAACTTGATTGTCATTCCGCGTAGAGAGAGAGAGAGAGAGAGAGAGAGAGAGAGAGAGAGAGATGGAAGTGGGTTACCAACCTAAGGCAACACTACACACATTGACTACTGTATATATAGAGGACACGCTTCGCTTACAATCCAGTTTTCATCTCTCCACTGTGAATGCTACACCTCAGTGCAAGAAGGGCCAATGTCAAGAACGCGTAATATTCAAGAGAACAGAAGAGATATTGTAATATGTGCGTCTCGGGTGTCCCATGTGACGTAGGCCTGTGTCTCATATTTCATATATATATGTGTGTGTGTGTGTGTGTGTGTGTGTGTGTGTGTGTGTTTGTGTGTGTGTGTGTATTTCAGGTGTTTCTAATGGGTGCTTGAACACTAGTAGGAGGGAGGGAGAGATGGAACGATAAAGGTATGAGGGAAACAAGAGAAGTGATACAAGCAAGAAAGAAATAAAGCAAGGTACAAGAGGGAGAAAATAAACGAAGGGAAAATAGAAAAGCAAGACAGGTGCACGGAATGGAGAAAAAGATAGGAGAGAGAGAGAGAGAGACGGGAAAGAAGTGGGGGGGAGGAGAAGGGAGGAAGATTTGACAGGGTGCGAAGGAGGCAAAGATGGAAATTGAAAAGGGCAGAAGGAAAGAGAATGGGCGGGAGAGAGCTGGAGAGAAAAGGTAGGAAGAGAATGGAGCCCCAAAAGGTCACTTGGATCACTAATTGCCGTGTAAGGTTCTTGCCTTAGGGCGGGGAAAGCTGTCATTCATGGCCTTTATACTGTACGTTCACGTAAAGTTTGGACACACGTGTACAATAAGTACACGTAGATAAACCACCTAACGCTAATGTAACCTAATCCCACCCTAACATAATCTCCAAATAGAGTTAGGGTGGTAATCTTCAGTTCATCCAAAGGTAGGCTGTAAGGCTCTAAGTAAGGGTCATCCAACTTCCGATAAAAAGATGATTGGGGAGAGTATGAGAGCGAATGGCGGGTGTGGGGAGGGTGTGTGAGGTGTGGGGACGGTGTGTGTGGAGGCGTGGGGAGGGTGTGTGTGGAGGCGTGGGGAGGGTGTGTGTGGAGGCGTGGGGAGGGTGTGGGGGAGGGTGTGTGTGGAGGCGTGGGGAGAGTGTGTGGGGAGGGTGTGTGGTGGGAGGGTATGTGGGAGGGAGAGGGGTGTGGGGCGTGAGGAGGTGTGTGTGGAGGCGTGGGGGAGGCGTGGGGAGGGGCGTGGGGAAGTGGGGGTGGGAGTGTGGGAGGCGTGGGGGTGTGTGGAGGCGTGGGGAAAGTGTGGAGGCGTGGAGGTGTGGGGAAAGTGTGTGGGAGGCGTGGGGAGGCGTGTGTGGGGCGTGTGTGGGAGGTGGGGTGTGGAGGGTGTGTGTGGGAGGCGTGGGGAAAGTGTGTGGAGGCGTGGGGGGTGTAGGAAGGGTGTGGAGGCGGAAAGTGTGTGGAGGCGTGGGGGAAAGGGTGTGGGGCGTGGGGAAAGTGTGTGGAGGCGTGGGGAAAGTGTGGAGGCGTGGGGAAAGTGTGTGTGGAGGCGTGGGGAAATGTGTGTGGAGGCGGGGAAAGTGTGTGGAGGCGTGGGGAAAGTGTGTGGGCGTGGGGAAAGTGTGTGGAGGCGTGGGGAAAGTGTGTGGAGGCGTGGGGAAAGTGTTGTGGAGGTGGGAAGTGTGGAGTGTGGGGAGGGTGTGGGGTGTGTGGGGAGGCGTGGGGGGTGGAGGCGTGTGGAGTGTGTGTGTGGGAGGCGGGGGAGGGTGTGAGGCGTGGGAGGGTGTGGCGGGGAGGTGTGTAGAGGCGTGGGGAGGGTGTGTAGGGGGGGTGTGTGGGAGGCGTGGAGGGTGTGTGGAGGCGTGGGGAGGGTGTGGGAGGCGTGGGGAGGGTGTGTGGAGGGTGTGGAGGCGTGGGGAGGTGGGGAGTGTGGGAGGCGTGTGTGGAGGGTGTGGGGAGGCGTGTGGTGGGTGTGGGAGGTGGGAAGTGTGGGGAAAGTGTGTGGAGGTGTGGGAGGCGTGGTGGTGGAGGCGTGGGGAGGTGTGTGTGTGGGAGGGGGAGGTGTGGAGGCGTGGGGAGGTGTGTGGGAGGGTGTGTGTGGAGGCGTGGGGAGGGGGGCGTGTAGAGGCGTGGGGGAGGGGTGTGGAAAATGGAAGAGTGTAGAGTGTTCTATTGGTTAGGCACACTACCTACCGCAAGCACATACGAAAAAAGGAGAACACTTCATTCAGTTAATTAAATTCCATTTGATAAAACACACACACACACACACACACACACACACACACACACACACACACACACACACACACATACACAATGTCTTTTTGTTCGTTTCTTAAGTAGACTAAAAGAACTAAGTCACTGTGATCTTTTATTCTTACAGCCGAGAAAATTCTTGACTTAAAAAAGGCTTGAATTATCCTTAAACATGTCTAGTCATTGATGATCTCCTGGCAAAGACGCGGGCGAGATGTCAATCGTGTATCACAAGGAAAAAATAAGAAAATTCAATACTCTCCCGAATTAGATGATTGAAGTAACTTAAGTGTGGTAGAGTCGCGTTGCTCCCTCCCACCGATTAAGCAGCGCTAGGTTACTCCTGTTTTAAAGTGTGATAAAAGATTGGTCATATAGAATGATGCAATATCTTAAGAGCAGACAAGTGTTATCACCAAGTCTCCCACTCACCCAGTGAGCGTCTCAGATAACACCACCGCTTCGGGTAACTGTAGTTATTTCAGTATGTCACTGTTTGTATTACCTCGACATTTTGCTTCATTTCATTGTTAAATCAGAATTGGCAATACATGTACATATTAATACAGATGACTTGAAGATTAGCCTAACTAGTTTATTTAATTTAATGATTAAACACCTCACCACTACCTAGGAGGGTTAGGTTAGCATTAGACTGTCCCTAACGGACCATCGTCTCCCGAGGACTCCTTCCTCTCTTCCCTTACATTAACTAATGTTATGGTGCCGCGCAGAGTCGTTCATTTATCGGGAGAAGATAAACACACAGCATAAAGGATAACAGAACATAAACTTGACCCGAGATCATAGTACATGTTATGTCATCCCTTATATGGTGAAAGACACTTACTGTACTGTATGGATTTTACTCTATTAGAAACTGACTATTCATATTAACAGTCTCTACAGTTATACATGAGGAAAAACTGTGATGATGAATTCCTTACATATGATCAAGTTTGTAGAAGAGACAGGACTGAGGAATGGAGGTTTTATGAGGTGCGGGAGAATAATACTGCATGTTTTGGGTCGTCAGCCCTGAAAGACGGGGATTAGTGATAGGAATTGGATTGGGGGATGGGACGAAACTTTATGAAACAGTGTGGAAAATGACTGGACGGGAAAACGCGAGACGACAGATGAGTCGACGGAACCGAATGGAATACGATAGTTAGCCAAAACGGTACAAAGCAGGATGACTATACAGAAGGGAAGGGACGGGACGGAGATGACTGGAGAAATCATCAGTTAATGTCTCCTAAATGGCTAAAAACCTGAGACGTGTCTTGGTGCCACCTGGGTGATGGGTGGACGTGAGTGCACCTCAGTCAAAGGTATTTGTGGCCGCTAATGATGTGGAATGGATGAGGAGTGTCAGGGATTAGTGGTTCGGGGAAGGGGGAGTATTAAGTAAAATCATCATCGTGTACACATATAGGATAATATGAAATGTGTACAGTCGGCCACATGAATAAGTATGCACACTGCATCTGTAAGGTCCAAAAATGGTCTGGTAACATTGAAACTGCACATTCAGACGCATGATGAAACTCAGTTCCCCTCACATGTTATCTCTAACTATTTTCTGTTTCCTCTTCATTATTATATTTACTCCTCTTTCTTCCTTTACCAATCCAGACATCAGTAAAAAAAGGTAGGGTAAGAGAAAAAGTGGGGGAGGAGGAGGGAGCTGTACGACAACTGCAATCCCATTCGGCAACAAGTTTTACTACCATTGGATACAATATATTTCTTGTAATATAAACAGAAGAGACTAGTAAAACATTCACAACAAATGTATTCATAACATATATGTAGGAATAAAACAAATTACAGGTCATTTTGTAATTTTTTCTGTTCTAATCAGGATAGTGTTACCAGATATTTTGTCTCAAACACACACTGTTGGTGTATACTTATTCTTGTGGCGACTATACAATGCACGTACACGCCATCTTAATCAAGTAATGTACTTTGCTCGTGCCATAAACGGGATGCCGATACGGACAGAAGGCAGGCAAGCGATGTTTATTGCTCGTGCTGGCGCTGTGCAGGTATATGAAAGATTTTATTTCTCGCCCTGAGAGCCATCGGCAGCCAATTAGTAAAAGTTTCTCGCTCCACCAATAAGGTCACCACCGTTCCTGATAGTTACCCACGTCGTCACCACCAATCAGGACTCTCTAACGCTAGCATGATTACTTTGATTGGCTCTTTCTAATAAAGAGTTCGCAAGTGATCCCAGTTCCCCACCTCCTTGCAATTACTCATCTACCAAATCTTTATTACTACTATAATCAAACTTGACTTACATTTATCTAACCTAACTTAAGTTAATCTAACACCACCTACAATTGAATATAACCTGACTAAATATATTGTACACCTAACTTAATTTAACCTAACCTAACAAAACCTAACTTACACTTAAATTCGACTTAAACCTAGATTATCTAAACTTACCTTACACATAAAGCTAACCAGCTATATATAACCCTAACCAAACCTAAACATAAAATTAAACTAACGTAAACTTTAACCGTATTGTAGGTGGAGTTTTTGCCATCCCATTTGGACGATTTAAGATGAATTATATTAGGATTAACAAACGACGAATATTATTTTAATTGTTATTAATTTGATAATTAAATATTAATTTGCATTCAAATATTTCATGTTATACCTGTATTCATATTCCTGTAAAAATAACGTATTTGTAGATTCTGTCAGTAAGTCAGGCTGACAAGTTTAATTCATATTCACGTGACTTGTGGTCAGAACACTTGTCAGGTGACCTCATAATAGCGTCAAGGCTAAAACAGGTGAGGAGGTCATGACCGTGCGAGGAAACGGCCAGTAATCTTTATATAAAATATTCCTAATATAATTCAGGTTGTATTTTGTTATTCCTAATATAATTCATATTATATTGCTATAAATCATTCAAAACAAATATAATTCAAAATATTTTCCTATAATAAGCACAGCAATTCTAATAAAATTTATGATATATGGACGATTTTTACCTATAATCGTCCATGTGGGAATCGACCAGGTGGGAGGAAGTGGTCTTAGTGGCATATAATCGTGGATTTAAATAAACTGCAGGAGTGGTCAGAAAAATGGCAAATGAAATTCAACACCAGCAAGTGCAGCGTATTTAATATTGGAAGAACAAATACTGTCAATGTATACAGCCTTAACATCAACCTAGAGAAGTCGACTTGTGAAAGAGACCTAGGGGTACTTGTAAGCCCGGACCTACGGCCTAGAAAACAGTGCGCTAATGTTCGAAATAAGGTAAACGGAGTATTAGGTTTTATATCTAGAAGTGTAAGTAATAAGAGTGCTGAGGTCTTATTGCAACTATATCTTGCGCTAGTCAGGCCGCACCTCGATTATGCTGTTCAGTTCTGGTGCCCTTATTTATAGAATGGATATCAATTCTCTGGAGTCGGTGCAGCGAAGAATTACGAATATATATATATATATATATATATATATATATATATATATATATATATATATATATATATATATATATATATATATATATATATATATATATATATATACACGACGTGTGGCGATGTTGGCGTCTGACGTCTACACACATTCGCACATCCCCGCACATACACTCGCTTACACAGTCACGCATCTCTCTCTTACACACACACACACACGTTAAACTACTTATGTTCCTCAGCTTTGGGCCGGCTAACAACTAAAACACGAGACTTACCTGACATAGTGCCATCGATGGGTGTAACGTGTTCCTCCAGGCAGTTGCGATCCCATGTAGTGAAGTCATAAGGCATCTTGAACAGGTGTTCGAGTGTTTGGTGTGTGTATAAGCAAGAGGGGCGGTGAGTGTAGCAGCGGGTGTAACAAACAGACTGGTGGAAGGTTTACCAAGCAAGAACGAGCGAGTGAAAGGAGGTGGCTGGTGTTACCGTGTGTGTGTCCAATTTTTCTTTACCGCGTGAAGTTTCTTTTATTCGAGCTCGTAGGTTTCTTAGGGAGGCAACAAGAGCTCACTGTGTAGGCTTGTCCTCCGCACGACTGAGGCTTATTGGAATCGGCAAGGCTATTTAACTGTCCAGTGGATTGTCGACGAGTTATCTTATCTTGAATGACCAGTCCGCCACTGAGAGACGGTCGTGGGCGTCTGCACTCCACCACGCTCGGTAAAAGAGTAACTGGCAGCTCCTGTTTCTCAGTAGTGCCGGGAGGGGTATATGAGGTTCTCGCCCTTGGGGGGGATGAGGGGGGTTGGTTGGTTTTAGTGGGGGTGGGGTGGAGTTAGCAATAGATGAAACGTGGAAGGGGAGGAGTTAGGAGTTTAGGAGGGGCAGAGGCAAAGTAAGAGGGGGGGGGGGGTTGTCCCCCCCTGGCCGTATGTAATGTGTTGGTGGCGGGAGTGGTTGCACTGGATGGTCACAGAGCGAGGATGATGGCAGGTCTTACATATATCCAAGTGCGAGAGAAAGAGAGGTTGTTAAGAGCGCCTCATTTCACATAACAGTTCCATGTAATGCTGTAGACACATGAACGAGGTTAGTGTGTCAATATAGCCATTAACACAGTAAAGAAAGTGAGACAGCGAGCCACACGTCTTTGAGGTATTCCGGCGCCCTTTTCCCTCACTCCCGGTGTTTCTTTTATTACTGACAGAGAGAAATAGAAATAAAGCCAGAAGTAACTTCTCACGAAAGTCAACACTCATACATCTTTTTAATCAGTTAAATCTAGCTACGGGTACAGATCTTTGTGATGTGGCGTTACGTATTGATTGCTCTTGGCAGCTAATAATGAACGATGAGACCGAAGCGGATAATGTGATTCCTTGACCTACTGTAGTACATCAGAAATGAGGCAAGTCTGAGATATGTCACATCTTCCTCATAAGACACCTCTACTCAATCCAACCGCCCAACTATACTCTTCAAAAAAGTTCACCACAACAAAGTTTCACACAATTATGAAAAAAAAACCCTGGTCCAGTTATTTTCTCCCACCAGCTGAAATGCTAAAATACGCGCAAATAAAATGTCTTTGTTCCTACCATTGTTATTCATCAAGATATTTCAAGTACAAATATTAATTTTACGAAACTATTATTTAACACATTCTAGATGAATTACTTTCCTTCAATATCGTAAACAAAAAATACTCTTATTTATAACGTATCTTATAAATAAATAAGACCACATGGAGATTCATTCGTCTGTCCTGATGTTCGTAAGTCGGATGTGAATGGAAACATATATTGAAAAGTGTATACGAACATCGGGGCCTTGGAACAACAACAACAACAACAACAACAACAACAACAACAATAATAATAATAATAATAAAAAAACATTAAAATAAATTTTAAACACTTCCAGCAAAAAATAACTACAAACAAAACTCTGATAAATCCGCACCTAATACAGTACAGTCAGACATGGGGCGATTACATCGGTAATGTAATTGATTACGATTACATGATAATTTAATTATTACGATTACATGATGCATAATCATGATTGCAATCATGACTACTTCAAAAGGAATGTGCATAAATAAACGAAAGTACTACAAAAAATCAATTTACTGTACTGTTTGTCAACTTAATACAATTAAATCATACTTTCTTAGAGATGAAAAGGGTAAACACAATGCATAATGGTGCGGCTATTTAAGAGACAAGAAATCAAAATCTTTATTAGCTGGATTTAAATTTTCATAAGATTAATATGGACATTATAAATACAAAATTGTATTTGACCTAAATAACTCTGAAGCGTTGCGAAGTTTTCGAATTTAATTAACACAAATGCTTATAAGATGATGGTAATTTAGTGCTCTGATAAAATTAAATGCATGGTATACTGCATACTCAAGATATAACTATGGTATCACTTTCAGTAAATGTAAATTAATTATCAAAACAATACTGTAATATTAAATTTCAAATTTAACATTAATTTTATTCTTAGACAAGAATTAGACCTCAAAGGTTTTGAGACATACTGTAACCATTATATCAAAGATAGTTTTAAGAATAAAAACGATCTAATGCTATTAATTTAAGCAAATAAAACGCACAGTACATATTATAGATAAGAATAAACAAATTCACACTGTTATTTGCTGAAGCTTCACTTAACATATGGCATCACAAAAATTGTGACCAAGTCCCAGGTTGCTGATTTGACTTTCTGCCTCATTTACACACAATTGCAGGGTTCAATGGTTTCTCTTACTTTGACAACACAACACACATACTGTATATCTTTTCTCACTCTTGGTTTATTTTTTTTTCGTTTTTGTATTTATTTATGGTTATTATTAATATTTGCATTTTTTTATCAATTTTTATTAATTATTATTATTATTATTAAATTTTCGCCCCGGCCCTGATGTGGGTCAGTGACTTGTGCTCGGGTGGGCTAATCCCCGTAAAAAAATAAAAATAATATTAAAAATGATTCGCCTAAGTCTGTACTAGCACGTTCTGAGCTTGCCGAGACGTAAATCAGTGGTTACCAGCACGAATGCTTAAATCTTACTGACTCGATATTTTGTTACTAGCAGCTAGAGTATTGCAGACATAATATGGATGGTAATGTTTGCAGAGTCATATAAAGGACCGAATGTAGATGAATGTATTGAAAATCATGAGCTCAGTATTGTACAGTAAAAGGAAATAAGTACCGGTATGTACTTACTATTGTAATCATGAAAGTAATCGTGATTACGATTGCTTTGCCCAAAATAAGTGTAATCGATTACGATTACTCCAAAAACTGTAATCGATTACGATTACAGATTACCCCATGTCTGAGTACAGTTGTAAGTGTTAAATGAAGATCTGTGGTTGACGTCATGTCTTTAAACTATATTTATGTTTGATAAATTGTATTATAAAAGTTATAACCAATAATAATAATAATAATTATAATAATAATAATAATTATAAAATTATACTACTACTACTACTACTAGTAATACACTTTCCATCTGATACCAAGGCATGTACTGTACACACACGCAATAGGCACACGTCTAATAAGTAGAGTAGTCGTCATCGCAGCCGTCACACACAAGGATGATAACTCTACTGTATATGACAAGGACAGAGTCTGTCTACCTCTAATGTTCAAGACAGTAAAACGACGGAGGCGTCAAGATGTGCAATAAAGTGTGGAAGACAGAACATGTGGATGAAAGTAAAGGAGAGTGGAGGGTGAGGTTAAAATGTGTGTGGAGTGAAAAGCTTAATGTCACGTGAGGAGGCGCGACAGTCCAGTGAATCCAGTGCTCTCTTCCGATCCTAAGGGTCGCTAGTTCGCGCCCGGGGCACTCTTAATCGACCCAGGTATGTAAAGGTACTTAAATTTAGTTGATGAAGTGAAGTACGGTAACTTCGAGTTCAGTGCCGGTCACATAATCTTGTACACAGAGGCTTAATATTCAGTATGCTGTATCCACGCTGCCCAAGAGAACCCACCTTTACTTTCAGCACAACGTCTAGGAACCCGGAAGACATAAAATAACATTCAACATTAGCAGCAGACCAGACTGTCTGTAACCTCTTCTCCATCAGTCTCAGAAGTGAAAGTGTCAGCTGTGTGTGTGTGTAACTCTCTCTAAGTGCTTTGACCTGCCTGGGGGTGGTGTCCGATATCTGGTTAGGTTAGGTTAGGTATTCTTGAAAGTGCAGGCACCTGGAACCTTTAGTCTCCAACACCTGTACGTTTCATTAATTTTATTTCTCTATCTGTTGATGAAAGAAACACCCTCTTGCTTAGAATAAAGGCTAATGACGTCATTTTGATCATCATCTATATGCAGTACAGTAACTTAAGCCAAAACGATTCGCCTTTCATAATGACAAAGGGGTAACAAAATTCACATGCGATATCTACACTGCTAGCATCGAGTAACCTGCAGACAACTCGGAAAACTGGAACGCTCAGATACAACCTTTGTGAAGATTCAAAGGGTTAAAGTCATCGTACTCAAGGGGTTCAGTTAATGTACTCAGGGGTTAAGACCGTTAAGTCATCGTACTCAAGGGGAATAGTTATCGAATTCAAGGGGTTAAGGCAACGTACTCAAAGGTTAAGTCATCGTACTCAAGGGGTAAAGACCGTTAGGTCATCGTAATCAAGGGGTTAAGTCATCGTATTCAAGGGGTTATGTCATCGTACTCAAGGGGTTAAGTCATCGTACTCAAGAGGCTGTCTTCATACTCAAGGGGTTAAGCCATCGTACTCAAGGGATTAGGGCATCGTACTCAAGGGATTAAGGCATCGTACTCAAGGGATTAAGGCATCGTACTCAAGGGATTAAGGCATCGTACTCAAGGGATTAAGGCATCGTACTCAAGGGGTTAAGTCATCGTTCTCAAGGGGTTAAGGCATCGTTCTCAAGGGGTTAAGGCATCGCACTCAAGGGGTTAAGGCATCGTACTCAAGGGGGTAAGGCATCGTACTCAAGGGGGTAAGGCATCGTACTCAAGGGGTTAAGGCATCGTACTAAAGGGGTTAAGTCATCGTATTCATGGATTAGTTGTTAATGGCGTACAAGCAGTGGAAATCAATAGTTAAGTGAATACTGGTTTATGTACTGTAAATAAAGAATTGTGTTGTTTGAACGTATACAACTGGTTTCACGTTCATAGTGTTTTAGCGCCGTTCACCAAGTCTTCATCTCAACATTATATAACAAATGAAGGGATATTTTTACATGGACCTACCATACTGCATACTGAGAAATACAGTAGGAAAATGACGTCATATTATCTATAGATCAAATGTGAATGTGATCCCATGTATACCAAGCGAGATTGGGACCTTTAATTATTTTGCGTTTTCCTCCTAGCAGTCAAACTATGAACTAAAGTCGGGCATGAATTTACAGATGACAGACTGAGTATTTGGTACATATATACAGTAACGAATACGAAAACTTTACCCCTTGAATACAATAACTTAACCCTTTGAGTACGATGACATAACCCCTTGGGTACGATGACTTAACCCCTTGAGTGTAACAGGGTGTTCCGTAAATACCTTTCATAAGCACAGGACAGGTTTGGTAGTAATGTGATGAAACCTACGGTCACTAAAAATAAATCTCCTCTATTTCTAGCTGTGGGTTCACATAAAAAGCAAGGTGTATATTACAGAGTTCCCACACCGCA